TCCTTTGCAGCCGAGTAGGTAGGCGTCTCGCAATTACCTCTAGGACTGAGCTCGAGTTGAGGTCACTCATGCAATTCATAGAAATCAAGGTATTCTTGTAAGTCATAAGATTATCCAAAAACTCAGTAAGTGCCTTGGAGTCATCTTGAAGTTGACTGCCGTTACCTTTGACAGCTTCGTATACGTTCCTTACAATCATTGAAGGTCTTCCGAACCTTTGACGTAATATGCTCATAGCCTCAACGTATCCCTCATTAGGGGGCATGAGCTTACAGCACTGTATAGCTCTTGAAGCATCTCCAGTGCAATACCTCATCAAATACATTAACTTCAATTCATCACTTAATAGAAAACTACTCAGCATGATCTCAAACTCCTTTACAAATTGTAAATAATCAGCCGGGTTTCCATCGAAGCACCGTGGTTCAAATTTCGGGAGTTTGATGTTCCTATTATCCCTGAACGGCGAAACAGTAACATCAACCATGTCATGCTTAACATCAGACACATCGTTACAATTAACAGACAAGTCACAATGACTTACTTTCCTGTTTGCATCCAAGACAATCTGTCCCTTCTTTGACCCAGGCATTGTTGAACTTGACCCAATTCCAAAAACGTTCCAGATATTGCTTGTTCAAAGAGGACTTGACCGGCGCCAGGAAAGATGAACGATGACTATCCAAAATCGTGCCAACTGTCCAAAACCGTTTAAAAACTGACGTTGTAACGTCAGAAACTGTCAGCCACGTCTCGTAAACCGTTAATGTCCAGCTCTTGCTGCACTCGGGCTCACGCTGTTCCTTGAAGTTTCTCAGAAACGCTTAGTAATAACGGACGCAAAAACCAAAACACCAATTGTTGACTCGAGGATTCTTTATTGTAACACCAACATATAAACACTGTTACAACTAAGGTCTGTGAACAAATATTACAATAATAAATCACAATATTACTTCTGACGGTTTTCTGCTGACTTCTTTCTGAACAGCGACCGATGAGACGATGACTGTCGTATTGATGCCTCCGCGAGAATTGGGGAAGTTGGTTTTGAGCAAACAACCATGAATTGATCGTTCAATCTTCAACTACATTGACAAATTTGTAATAACCAACGCGAAACCAGGACAAAGATTGGCGTCTCAAGAATCCTTTATTCTTACGCCAATATGTAACCAGAAATAACGTTATATACACAAGGTCTAAGAATAAATGTTATAACAATAAGTCACGATAATACATCTGATAGTTTTATCTGTTCCACCGAAGAGCGAACGATAAGACGATGACTGCCGTATTGATGACTCCGCGAAAAATATGGAGATGGTTTTAGCAAACAACCATGAATTGATCGTTCAATCCTCAACTACATTGACAACTTGTCAGAGTGGTACATACAATGGATGCTCCCGATATGTATGACAAAATGTTCAACCATGCGCGTCGGAGAATCAAGCACTATCTTCTTAAAACTAGAGGGAATAACACTTTCGTCACTTCAGACTCACTTGGACTTATTAATATGAGTGTAAATCTTGGACACTGTAAGTAATTCTATATTATAAATAATATAAATAAATAAATTTATTCTCATGATGCAGTACATGAGGGACGCCAGTTTACAGGCATCATCAAATTGTTACAGAAATATGACCATATTATTCAGTCACAATTTACAGTCGACAGCAGAATATGTTTAACATGTACACTGGAGATTATACATACACTTGATAAATGTTAATCCCAATAGTATAAAACATCCTTTTCACTTATGTACAATCGTTTCTGTGCATAGTCGGAAAAATCCACTAGATTGTCAGTGAGTGCAACACATGCAGCCAACGCGCGACAGTGTGCTATAGTTTCTAAATCGTGTCTATCTATGACACCTAAGTCCAAGTGATTCCATATTAGTTTGCTTATTAGATGTATCACACAGTGAAATAGTATTATTTACTGGATTACGTTTGGAACAAAATTTATTGTTCATAATCATATCAGTTGTGTATGATATGATACAACTGATATGATTATGAACAATAAATTTTGTTCCAAACGTAATCCAGTAAATAATACTGTTTCACTGTGTGATACATCTAATAAGCAAACTAATATGGAATCACTTGGACTTAGGTGTCATAGATAGACACGATTTAGAAACTATAGCACACTATCGCGCGTTGGCTGCATGTAGCTCCAGTGCCTTATGGGCAATTCGCAGAGCCTTTACTAGAATTATCAGAGATATGTACACCCCCTTACTTACATGTCTGTTGAGGTTAAGACTGGAAAGCTCTATCCGGGCAGCCAGTCCTTGCCTAAGAGGGGACTCACATTCTAGAAAGGGTTTAGAGGAAGGAAACACGTATGGTTCTCGGCATGACTGACTTATCATATTAGGAAAGACAAGACAGTTTAAATCTCTTCTCCCTGTCATACCGTAGGCAGAGGGGAGATTTAATCGCAATGTTTAAAATTTTAAATAATGACTACTGCCCTGACCTATTCTCTCTTTTCTTTCCCATCAGGTCGAAACACCTTGAGGACATGGCAGGAGAGTTCGAAAGCCGAGAAAAAATCATATAGCTGTCGAGTATTGGTTCTCACACCGAGACATAAACTCATGGAACCGACTGACTCACAGAAGAAGTGGTGTCCACAACCTCAACTGTTTCATACAATAAGGGTTTTAACAACCAAAGAAATTTACTTGAAATGATTATCACAGGTTTCAAGCCCTTATCCTCAACCAATAAATCTGAATATGTATGCAATTTCGCCAAGCAGGTATTGAACACTTCAATGAACTTAAGGCGCACTGTCGGAATATGTCGCTACACCAGTAGAGTTGTTATATGCGTTTTTTGTTTTGACTTCTTAAGTTTGTAGAAATTAGCTGGTAATGTTTTATCATAGGAAACCAGTAATGGTTTTCATTTAATATATATTTTTCTAAGGGGTGATTCCCTACGGATAAAATTAACTATAGTATGGTAAAATGTAGTGCTAAATAGTTCAAATACTACTAGTTACATGGAATGACATTGCTAATAGCTGTGGAGTCTAGTCCCAAAATATGGGCATTACAATTTCACTTGACGTTTTTTGACACATTGTCGGTATCTTCGAGAGATAACTGGCCCTAAATGTACAGCGGTTAGGACGCTAGCCGACCATGCACATGGTCCGGCGTTCGATAGCCGGCCGACGCACTCTTTGTGTGCGTCGGTGGCACAGTGGTTAAGACTCTCGCTGACCATGCACATGGTCCGAGGTTCGATCCCCTGCTGACGCATACCTGATATCTATGGTCGGCCTGCAAAATTTGGGCTACCGATATCCATGCTGAGAATTCTATACTTGTACCGAAAATACAGTGTGGAATCAAGTTGTAAATCAAAATCAAATCAAATCATTGGAAATGTATAGGTATTGAACCAGCAGCCGCAGAATTAGAAACCAGATACTGGTCAGGTGGGACCATAACTTCAAGAAACAGTATCTCGCTAATATTTCAAGCGCTTGGTTGCTGTGTAAGTGTCCGTTTAGTTTTACCACGTAAACCACTCAGTCAAATTTCGTCGCAATCGTAATCGCAGTAAATTAGAAGTGAATGAATAATAGCATAATCATGAGAAAAAGTTTTGAATGGAGTTTAAAGATTTCAAGCAGTATACTGAGCACGATTAGGCTAGGGTTATGACAAAGACTGGTTCGGTTTAGTTTAATCCAATTAGGGAGGTATTAAAGTTGTATCTGCCAATTTGAATGACAATCTTTGTGGCTAAATACATTTAGTGGGGTTGAAATATTGCATGTATGCTTTGATTTTCGATTAGTGAGTCCAATGAACCATAGAACACCTTCAATTGTAGCCCTAACTGGTAACGGGGTTATTATCTCTTCTCAACAAGCAGTGTTGACTGAGGTAGAACTAGGATAGAGATGAGTGGTTAATACCTTGGCGTAAATCCATGATGTCAGTGGTATTCTGAGCCGTTTAATGAATTATTCGGGAATGTAGCAAAAGCCGTCCACCATTTCATAGACGTATTCTCACTTTATCATCCACAAAAATGTGAATATCTACATTATTGTTCACTAAGTTATTTTTTGATATGTTTTGTAGTCTTTTACAAATTTTCGAAGTGGAAATTTTTTGAAATTTTTATTTGTAAGTCAGATGTAAAACATCGCGGTTCGTTAACGATACGAAACTGACTGCTTAAGTTTCAACAGAAGACTTTGCATAAAGTGCAGCACTTCTAGTTGCTACACTCTATGTTTTGCCCAAAAATGGTAGAGATTCAGAATAACTATAATGAGCAGAATCTGTGTGTGTGCGTGTGGAAGAATAGTAACAGTAATAAGCATGAGTTAATTGGTGACTGGTGACTAGTAGTGGAATCCAGTGATGTTCCCATCGCGGCTCGAGTGGCCCAAGTGTTCTAATGGATATAGCTTTGGTGTTTGAAACAATGGTCACTGGGTTCGAGCCTCGGTGGGAACATCATTGGATTCCATCGCTAGTCATCATCCACCAATTAACTTCTGATTACACGCTTAGACATCGTCGAGGCATCTGCACAAGAAGCCGACAGACGTGTCAACCTGAAACCGAGCACTTCGGTCCAATCAATGAATCGATGGGAAAATCTAAAATTGAATCAAAAAAACATGTGGTTTTAATAGATATGGGAGATTACATATAGTGAATGTATCTGCGCCATTGAGAACGATTATCTCCAGCTACTGATTATTTGTATCCTGAGGACGCCAATCGGGTAGTTTATATCTCCCTACACGTCTCAAACTAGCTGTCAAAAACTTCATGTTAATGCAGAAAATGAAATAAAGTATTTTCGGCTAGATAGGAAATGGAATAAAATGATAAATGTCGAACGTTATACATTTTTAGCTGTTATTCTACATATATTTCAATGTAATTCGTAGTTTTATTTAAACATCTGACTCTTCTTTTGTATTACCTTAATTTTCAGATCATAACGAATTGACAGTAACACTAAACTTTTATATTACAATATTACCGTGGAACAAATACTATTAGGCAAACTGAAACGAACTTGTTAAAAGTCTTATAAATATATCTATTATTGCTTTTAATGGTATCACTGTGTTTCTTAAAACCTTCGATTTACCTTTCAAGACGAACATTCTTTACATCGAGGATTAATTATTCACCGCGTAGTATCTTTTCAGATGATAGTTATAGACTTCGTACATTCCTTAATTATACTATGTCATTTGGTATATTCATGATTGGTTTTGGATATGGTACTGTGCCGTTATATCGTTTGTATTGTACGGTAAGTTGGAAAGTTTATTTTATCATACTGGTTTTGTATTGGATATTTCTGGAGATAATTATTATTACAGCTATGGCTTGAGAATTCAACTTCAAAATGATAAATCTTTGGTTCAAATTGTACTCCTCTTATCTCTGTCCTGGGGTAAGGGAGGGAGGTGTTGGCGTCTGGGTATTATTATCGACCATTACACTTTGGATTTGACTTATAGCCTGTTATATGTATTATCGTTAATAATTAATAATAGTACTGATATCATTATTGAGGCAAACTTAGTACATTATGGGCACCAAGCGATGTGCCACACTGAATCTCATAGTTTGTGCGAGAGGTACGATACTTCCTGGACGTACAGACTGAAGTAGGTGGCTGTCTTAAGGGGCCACCCTCTACGAGCCTTCGACTTGAAGTGTGATCCGCAAGGCAGTGGAGCAACGTCGAGTGCTGTGTTTCTATGGTTGACGTTGACTAAAACAGGTCCACACTCCATTTGATCCTTTTGGATGCTGGAGCCCTTGTATACCATATACTTGGAATCAAGGTTTTCCAGCCCCTCCCCCTTCTGTAGACCAACATGTCCAACATTCCGGTTGTAAGCATGAGACGTCCTCATTTGTCGTTTCGCTTCTGTGAGGAGTATCCCCGCTGCATGAAGGCGGTGAATAGAACTTACCTGGCGGAGCCCATGGTCTGTCTGTCTGTTTTCGACATAGAACTTTACACAAATGTGCGGAAGTTCAAGTCGCCACACTCCGTGTAGCACGCAAAGCAAGAGAAGAAAGTACAAGAAAAGCATAATAGAAACAGTGAGCAGATGTGTGAGACAAAGGAGTAATAAAGAAAAACAAAACAGTTTCATTGGAGATCATAAGTCACAAGGAGTGGATGCATCTGCGCTAGCCACTGAGAACGATTTTGAGCCATGTCACCAATTGTTTCCAACCATAGGTTTTTACCGTCCCGAGGACCCCAGCCTGGAAGTCTACACCTTCCTACGTGGCTTAGACCAACTGTTGTGGATTTCATTGACTGGTAAGGCCAAGTTTTTGTTTGACCGCCGCTAGCTTTTTTCCAGCCTGACCCTATATCCGCTAACATTGCTCGTCGAGGGAGGCGATGACTAGGAATATCTACGTAACACATGTCCTAACCATCTCAGTCTTTGTAGCTTCACGACTTCGTCGATTGAGCCCATGGACGCGTAACCATATGAGAAAAGCATTTCAAAGGGAAGACAGCAGCCTACTCACTGTCGTTTTTACTACGGCATGTTTGCGGGGTGGTGTAGATTGTGTTGGTAAAACTATGTGAGGTACCCTTGGCAGGTTGGTTATCGATCCCAATCGTGGGTACCAATTAAAGGTGAAGTAAGAATCTGGGTCACAGTAGAATTCGGACCAGTGACCTCCAGATTACGCAACATTTCTCTGTAATCAGCACGAGTTGTGCCTATCTGTCATATTTTTCTCTTTTGCTTTTTTGTCTCCACTTATAACAGAAAACAGGTAGCGGGACGAATGCAAATTTTGCTAAGGCTAAAACCGAAAAAATTAGAAGTATGAAACCAGTAAAGGATTATGAATTAGTTGTGTATTTCGCTGCTGATACATATTCAAAAATGGCATGGAAATTTAAACCATTACAAAAAGAGGTCAGTTTACCTTATTATTATTATTACTGTCATTATATATATATATATATATATATATATATATATATATATATATATATAATAACACCAAGACCCACTCTACAACTCGCCCCTAAGAAAGCGCTACCCTATATGGGGCATCACAGCAGCTTGATAACTAGACAAAGATTGAACGCTGATGTGGTTAAAAAGACTTTTTATGCAGCTAATATCATAATAATTGAGAATGTAAAGCCAATATATCTGTCTAAGCCCTTCTAACATACGAAAAATGACGTTACATCCCACTGTATTTACCAATTTGAATGTACGTGTGAACACACATACATAGGCAAGACTCATCGATCTCTGTAAGTAAGGACTGGCTACAGAGCATATTCCTAAATGGTTCCAAAAACAAATGGAATCTTCAGAGCCCATTAATGGTAAGAACAGTCGACGACCTAGCTCCTCTATTGCGAAACATATTATAGAGACAGGATATAAAATTGACATTAACACATCTTTTAAACCTATCTATAACACGTGTTTGGGGGAGAGCGTATCCTAAAGTTTGTGGAAGCCCTGGCTGGCAGTTAGGAAGTTTAAACCACCTTTATGCTTTCAAAGCAATAATTCGTCATAACATTAAACCTTTCTTGGTAAATTTTGTTTTGATACCATAGTAGATGTACTATTATCTCTGTGATTTCGTTTAGTGGTCTTCATTGTTATTTTGACCTAGAATATGTCCTTTTAACTTGACCCGTCTATTTTCTCACCTCTTAACTCTTTATTAATTTCATATATATTCCTATGACAAGTAGGTGTGTGATCAGATTGTTCGAAATGTGTTGCCCAAATACTGCATTACACGATTCAGACAAATTACGTCTTCTTATTGCTTTGTCTAACTAAATTCATAAATTGTTTTAAATGATTATTATTTCCTTTCCATTCCTTTGTGTTCTGAGGGGGACATACGCCTTCAGACTTTGGAGTTTCAGTAGCGGTTGCGTTCGCTGACTTTTTTACGAGGTTGGGTTGTTAGCCTCAGGCTAAACCTTTCCTCTGCTCTTCAAGGTTGCTACTGGCTGGCAAACTAGGCGAGCTGTAAGAGTGTATCGGCTAGGAATCGAGTCCTAGATCACATGGGGATTTAATAAAACTAGATCTCAAGCAGTGCGATGCCAGTCTAAATCTCCCATACACAGCACAAACCAACAGTCAAGGACTTATTCAATTCATGTTATCTATTCGTGTAACCATTAGTAACTATTTTCCAATCCGATTCTGACTTCAGTTAACACCCAGTGACACACGAATTCTATTCCATGGGATTCTGTTCCGATGCTTGCCTTATGATGCAAAAGTTGTGAGTTCTCACCCTCAGTGGGTTATTGGTGTCTGCCTCTGACGAGAGTGAAGCCAGAATGAAACAACTGTCTAGTAGTACTGCCTGGTTTTCAATACTTTTTCATTTGTGTATCGTTAGTTCAGTGGTAGAATGCTTGCCAGCCATGCAGAAAGTCCGAGTTCAATTTCCGGCTGACGCGCTCCTAAACCTCTATTAGTTGGTGGTAAGGCTGGAGACGAAGTAAGGGAATAACAGTGATAAGGAAGGCTTTGTGTGCTTATTGTTGTGTCTGGTCAGTTATCACTTCCCGTACAATGGAAATTGATTTCTTCTTAGCGTCAGTGTTGCGTGACGGTTAAGACCAAAAGGACAACTGCTTGAGGCCAGTCACACACAATCCATTTGAGTTGGTTTTTGGAGTTGTATCTGTATTAAGATCTTACCGTCACGATGCAGTCTGTGGGTCAACCTTCTCCAACGTCTCCATTTTCAAAGTGGAAAGGTAGCATAACCGGCATGTTGGTCATCTGAGGGAAACATCTCACTGCTGTTACATTTCTGTTCATCAGCAGTACGATTTCGTTCACAGATCTTAACATGGTGCATACTATCAACACTATGATGGTATCTCTATCCAAACGACCTTTTTGGAATGGAACATTAATTCGATCAAGTCTACGTTGTTGGGTGGTTGCGTTAGGGAGGCCTGACCACCACGTCAAGATAGCAGCTATCGGTTGAGGGAAAAGAGTAAAGGTTGGTTGTGAGACTAACAACTCCACTCCGTAAAAACGACGATGCCACCGCTACTGAGACCGCAAAATTTGAATCCCTGAAAATGAAAAAAAAACAAAAAAAGGAAAGGATACTTTGTCGTCTTTAAACCAAACAGACTTTTAAAATTACTCAATTAAACCGGAAAAATGATTTCAAACGCACACACACACACATACTCCGCTAGTCACGGAGAATAGTATTTAGTATTAGGTGGTTGGAGGCAGTCGGCAGAATGCCAGGGACCTAGGTTTCGTGCTAGTTGGCACTCATCATCAGGGGGTGTCTGCAACCTCGAAGGCACTTACGTTCTTTCTGAGATTCGAACCCGCGTCACCCAGTGCTGCAGTCAGTCAGAGACGTTACCACTGAGCTATTCAGTCTCACCATTTCACAGTGCACCGTAATGGCCAGCCAACTAGTGGCATAATGGCTACATTGCAAGCTTGACGGATAGAATTCAGTCTGCACTGAAGATAGGACTAGACACATTACACTAGTTACTGACTAGTGTCCAATCAAAAAGAATAATATTTGGCTGTGTATGTGTTTAATTTTAAAATGAGTGACCGAGAACCCCGAAAACAATCAGTACTTCGAAGAAAAGAAAGTATTATTATTATTGTATCCTTTAGTTCCTAGAGGAACAGGGCTTCAGCTGCGCACCTCCATTGCCTTCTGTTTTCTGCCAACTTCTTCACCCCGCTCCAAATCTGCCCACATGCTTTCATCTCCTCTTCACTCAAATGACCTCCTCCAGGTCAACCTTGCACTGACGACCAACTCGCCGCTTCCCTCTCGGGTTCCACTCGAGGGTTTGTCTAGTGATATGTCACTTGATGGTTTCCTAAGTGTATGGCCAATCCATCTCCATTGGACTTAGGACTAATTATCCTGTATATTTCGTATACAAAGATCTAGTTTCAACGACTGAATGGGACAGACTTTAGCAGACCCAGACAGTTTCTTGTTGGTTTACTTATCATTATAACTAAGGCTTTTACTGTCATCGACATTATGCCATCACGAGTATCTGTGGAGCTGCAGCTTGTTGGTTTTGACGCTAGACTTCTGGGTTCGACTTTGTTACAGTATTCACACCCTACGCTCCATTTGACGAGGTTTAGGCAGAATTTAGGATTTAACGCATGGATCGCCATAGCTTCTGTGACTTGAGTTTACTTCGTAAGGCTTTGGTTAGATCCCCGCGTACTCTGTAGATAACTCTGAAGTTGATTTGCGAGCTCGCTAGGTGTTTCAGAATAGAGCTGCAGAGATATCTTATTTCTCTTCTTGAGGGCGTCTAGATAGCAAATTGTGAGTTGAGTATGGCCTACTACACCTAAATTCAGAGGACCAGGTGAATTGATATGCAGGTATATATCGATGACGTCAGCAGAGGTAAGTTATCTTTGATTTTGTAGAGAAAGAAAGTCAAAGTTCAGCTGCGGAAAATATTTTCCCAATGAATTGGACAGACACTTTCTTGGTATTTCTGATGGTGAGTCTCCACTGAATCGCACATTAAGATAAAGAAGTTTCTTGTGGATGGAAAGTGTGTATGTGTGTAGCTTTGGTGTAGTCTTCATGTATTTTGTGATGGAGCGTTCAGAGTAAGCCATTTTCAATGAGAGTCTTTTTTGGAGTTCTCACCCCCACTTCCACGGTGTTCAGAGAGACAAATACTGCAGAATCTATGATTCATTAACCATATCAGGCCCCGTTTTGTATGTAAAGTGGCACCCAACTGCAGAAGTTCGTGAGTTATCTGTTTTTTTGTTGGCTTTGTGTAGCTGAATTCTTTTCCCATGTTTCATTGTGGGCTGAACATCTTGGAAGGATATTCTTGAATCACTTCGTTAAATGTCAGATGTTGCTTGAGAACTCGTCTAAACTGACTCTTAGCTTAAAGATCGGGCTTTAATTTGTAGAGTATGTTGATTAGCCCTAATGCTTTAATTGTAGACGAAATTTCAGTACGCATACAAAGGTTCATATGGGATTTGCCAACTTACATCATCTATGGCGTAGACGTGATATCTAGCTATCGATCAAACGACGTATGTATGGAGCAGCAGCAGTTCTATCCTCATAGCCGTTGGAAAAGGAAGATATGAAGACGTTCGCGGTGTTTGATTGTAGGTATTTGTGTTCTGTCTGCTGATTGATCGGGGCGAGTAGTGCATGCACACCAGCCAACCAGATCGAAGTCATTTAAATACCAGTTGACCGTTTCCATTGTCGGAGACCAAGCTGACCAGTGGTGTACCGGGTTTGGCTGAGCTAAGACAGCTGATTTCTGGCTAGCTACTTGGCAAAATGGTGTGCATATTCATGCTTACTTTCTCATTTACCACTTGTGTGGTATCAAGAAGATCGCATATTGTTAAAATTGTAGACTGCAAATTCGATTTGATCTCTCGTGTTGTGTTGTAATCTGATAGGCAATATTAAGATTGGCGTAGAGTGTGTTAGGTAAGGGGAGAGATTCAATAGGTGAGATTGTGAAGCTACTACATGACATGGAATAGCCTTTCTTAATGTACAATGTCACAATGACACACGAGTTAGGGGGGTGGTAGTCGTGCTAAAGCCTGAGATCAGCCCCGTGGAGTCTTTGACTGTTGGTTTGATCTGCATTGAGACGAGTAGACTGCTTGGCTAGGATCCTTCGGACCCTAAGACCTAATGTCTGGAGACTGTTGCTGATATGTCTGAAAATCTCCTTTTTAGCGTGGAACAGATGCATTCACTCTATGCAAACTGCCGAATCCATTGAGTTCTTGTTATTCACCATGTAATTCTCCCATTCAGGAAGGTATGGGAGATTGAGGATGTACCATCAATGTTGAATGAGCCATTATCGTCTCTGTCTTTAAAAAGGATCGACGTAACACATGTGACAACCATAGAGAGGGGGATCTCAGTCTGCTATCACTTGTGTCTGGAATATTGTCTGCTGTCTTTCTTCTCAGGCTGGGTTTCGTTCAGGCCGTGGATGCATTGATCATGTTTTCACCCTTCGTCAGTCGTTAGAACACTACAACACGTACTGCAGGCCAACAATCGTTGTGTTTCTTGATATTAGGGCTGCTTTCGATTCGTTGGATAGAACTGTGCTCTAGAACTTTTTGTTAGAAAGGGGCGTACTTGAGAAGTTTGTGAAAATCCTGAAAGCCGTTTACAGAAACACCTCAAGTAGAGTGAGGGCATACAGCCAGCTATCTTCACTGTTCCCAACCAACAGTGGGATTAGACAGGGTTGCCCAATCTCTCTATTTCTCTCTAACTTTGCCATCGATGACATTCTGGAGTCCGCTCTGAAGAAAGTGCGTGAAGGTAATGTAGATCTGCACCCTGGATGGAGACTTTCCGACTTCGAGTATGCAGACGATATCGTCTTACTATGGGATAGCGTGCATGTTGCCCAAATCGCACTTAATCAGTAGGCGATCAGTGTCTGTAGTATGGTATGTGCTTTGCGCCGTCCAAGTGCAAAGCACTGTCACAAGGTTGGTAGGAGTCTGTACCTCCACTCACTCGTGCTAGTGTACCGCTTGACGTTGTCGATAAGTTTGTGTATCCGAGTAGTTGTGTGATTGCTGCCAGAAGGGTAACGGATGAGATTTCCAACCGTATCATGAAAGCTAGGGTGGCAAACGTTAACTTGAGCCACCTCTGGCGCCGTCGCGATGTCAGACTGGCTGTCAAAATTCGGGTTTGCAATGCTTCGGTGCGTACTGTCTCGCTCTACGCTTGTGAAACCTAGCCTGTCCGAGCTTAGGATGTACGGCGACTCTGCGTGTTTGATCGTCGCTGTCTCCTTAGGGTTGCCTGTGTTCGTCAGCATCATCATGTGAACAATTCTGAAGCCTGGTGGCGTGTTTTGGGAAGCAGTGGAGATCACCACTCGTTGAGTGTTGTCATCTGGAAACACCAGCTGCGAATGTCATCCTATAGGCTTCTTTACAGGTCTCTGTTCACTAGCCCTGGGACGGGATGGAGAAAGTGGAGAGGTGGTCAGCCCATGACTTGGCGTCGTGGGATGAAGGATATTTGTATTAGGTTAGCATGGTTTGGCGTCCGAAAGATAGTTCTCGAATCGGTGGCTCGAAACTTTATCGGACATGGCCGAGAATCGCGAACATGCTGCAATATCCTGCTTTCTCCCGTTTCCGATGATAATTGACAAATTCTGTTTGAACTTGTTAAATATGACTGTTTTCCTTCCAGGTGAAGTTCCGTATCCGTTCTCCACCTATATTTTTTACTTTTAATCTCATAAGTTGTTTTATTGTTATCATTCCGTGGCACATCTTGGTACCATACTGTATCAAGTTTTTCTTGCGTATAGATAATTATAATAATTCTTCCATTTACCCCTTACATTTCCGTTCATTATGATTCTTTGAATTTCTATTCTCTACTTTTGTGTGCTACGCAGTAGTGTGGCAACTGGAGCAAGCTGCTGCTTCACTTCTCTGCTGGAATTCAGTTAGTCAGTCATTTTTTTCCACTCAGATTCCTTCTGTAATATGAATTTGATTGAAGGGTGAGGTAGCGCTATCGAGAAAAAATCTATCGAATATCTTTCGAATTAATTAATTAATTTTTAGGTTAATTTACACATTTTCCGTTGATTGATTGATTAATTATGCATTGGATCGAAATGTTCGACCTCGGTATGTGTGTTGATATGTCAGCTTCGAGTAGAGGTGGCTTCAATGATGTCTAAGAATTAACTTGAAGTCATCGGGGTTGGTAGTGACAAGCAGTGGAATACAGGATATACATTTCATCTTTGAGTAGCCGTCTTCAAATGTTTGGCATGCGATTCTCTCCCTTTGGCAAATGTGTAATATGATGCTACAGGACTGGACTACATTGATTCTTAGCTTGAAGATAGGGAGGGAAGTGGTTGGTGGAGCATGTTGACCACCTCACTTATTCGGGAATTCGCATCAGCCAACGCCGTCGAGTTGATCTCTGACGAAATCTCAGCACGGTTACAGAAGGCTCGTTTGGAATTTGCCAACAAACGCCATCTCTGGCGTAGACGTAATATCCGGCTGGCTGTCGACCAAAGGACGTATGTGCTGCTCAGCAGAAGTTCTCTCTGTCCTCCCATGTGTCTGTGAGTGAGACATGGCCAGTGAGAGTGGAAGAAATGAAAAGGCCGGCTAGCTGTCTTTGGTCATAGGTGCCTGCGATCTATCTCCCGTGTCAAGTGGTATAATAAGGTGGTCAATATTGAGGTTAGGCGTCCGTCAAGTGCTAGGTAGTTGAGATGGGAAATCAATCGATGATGAGGTTGTGAAGTCACATTGATTGAGATGGCTGAGACATGTGCTACGCAAGCTTGTCCAGCCATCGCCTTCTTCGACAGGCAATCTTAGCTGACATAGCTAGTGGTGATCAAACAGAAACATGGCTTCATCAGTCAATGAAATGTTTAATAGTTAGTGTGAGCCAGTCAGCCAAGTAGGGAGTTGTAGACTTCCTGACTGACTGTTTGAGATCCTTACTTACTTACTTTACTTCGGCTATCTCCTACGGGAGGATGAGCCGGCTTTATGAACGTCTCGAATCATCGCTGCCCAGGCGCGGCAATTTGTAAGAGAGTTCATGAAGTTTCATGGGAATTTGGTACGAGTGATGTCCCCAGCATCGCTCGGCCTTTTGTTTGAGAGTGCAGCTCTAGCCTTTACACAGCCAAGTGTGACCTACAAGGCAGTAGGAGTGGAGTAAGGAGTCCACTATCCATTGGCAGCCGGTGACCGGAGTTCGGTTCATACGCCTTTTTGAATGGGGCCAGACATCCAGGACATCCAACAAGCCCTTTGTCCATACGTCTGCCGGTGAGCTCCAGTGAGCTTCATACGCCAGTCGTTGGAGGTTTGGAATCAGGGTTTAGCCATCTCCCCTAGACTGTCATCCAATGGACAGTCAACCCGGTGAAGAGCGCCGGGCATCCGCTTTCGCCCTCTCACTTTGGTGAAAAACACCTCCGCCACGTGAAGGCAGTGAGTAGGACTTCCTCAGGAGAGGCTATGTAAGACGCCCGGTCATATGGGAGCATTTCAGGAGGTGTGCGGAGGGGTGGCCAACCCGCAGCGCAAGGCACCCACCCCCGACCATCCTGAGGCTTTGGAGGCGTTTGAGATCCTTGGGATGTTAAGAACAAATGGAGGCTAAAGACAGTTGGTGATGTGGCTGAAAGTCTTCGTTGTCAATAGCTCACTCAGATGCATCGACTCTTTGTGATTTATCACATCCAATAAAATCCTGCTGTTCTTCCATATTTCTATCCTTCCTCCTCCACTCACACTTCTGTTTTTCGTCTCTCTTTAGTCTGTCCTCTTGCTATGCGTGGTACATGGAGAGAGAGAGAGTGGCAACTCGAACTGCTGCACATCTGTGTAAAGTTCTGTGTTGAAAGCAGTCAGTCAGTCAGTCATTCCTATTTAAGACTCGTCAACTGTGAATGTACTTGCCAATCTCCAGTAAGTGGTGATGTTCCCACAAGACTCGAAGTCAGCACTCCTCGTTCCAAACACAGATTAGAGTGTTATACACTTGGCTGAGTGGGAACACACTCATCACTCACTAAGGATTACAGATTACGACTCCGGAATATGGACGAAATGCGCGTTGTCTTCCGATTTTACTCTGCTAGTCATTAACTTCACATTATTCCCTTTATTATTAGATATCGTAATTATGATAATCAATCAGTCATTGTGTTTGTTTCTTCTTTTTTCACAATTATATTCTTCTAGTTGACTGTTGTCCCTGGTGAAACAGCCTTGGCATTTTATTCCGCTGAAAACCCAACAGATAAACCGATTGTCGGCATTGCTACTTATTCTATTGTTCCATTTGAAGCATCAAAATATTTTAATAAAATACAAGTAAGAATATATTTGATTGTTTGTTTGTCTATTTGTATGTTCGTTCTAGTTTTTACATTTCAGTTATTGTAGTTATATTACACTTCTGTGTGTTTGCGTTTGTGTAAGAACTTGTGTTAGTAGTAGGTGAAATTAGGTCTAAGTAAATAGACTTACTAGTGCGTCACTGGTTCCATGGTAGGTAGAATATTAACCAACCATGCACGTGATCCGGCTTGATTCCAACCTGACTCACCCCTCTCAACTTGTGTCTGCTTTACCAGCCCTATTATTATTATTATTTCCTTTAATTCCTAGAGGAACTTGGGACTTCAGCCGCGCGTCTCCATTGCGTTCGGTTCTCTGTTAAAGTTTTCACCTGGCTCCGGGTCTGCCCACATGCTTTTATCTCCTCTTCACTCACATGACCTCCTCCAGGTCACCTTGCACTGACGACCAACTCACCGCTTCCCTTTCAGTCGGGTTCCACTCGAGCGATGGCTTGTCTAGTGATGTCACTTGATGGCTTGTCTACTCAGAGTATGGCCAATCCATCTCCATTTCTTCCTGCCTATTTGTCTCACAATCGGTTCCCGGTTGGTTCGCTCATTGCCAGAGATCCCTGTTGCTGATCTTTTCTGACCGGCCATCTGATCTTGAGTATCGGGCGAAGACAGCTGTTGATTAAGGTCTGTAGTTTGTTTGAGATGCTCTTAATGAGGCACTGGCCAAGTCTCTGATCCGTATAGTAGGACTGACTTCACATTGGAGTTGAGAATCCGGGTCTTATTTTCATTTTCATGCTGAGTGCTATTGATCTCCTCACAGACTTCAGAGTAATGAAAGCTTGTCTTGCTTTCCCGATTCTTGCTTTGATATCCTCGTCAGTTCCTCCTGTAGTTGAAACGATGCTTCCTGGGTACATAAAGGTTGTTTCTTTCAGGTTCCTCCCATTCATGCTGATTGTTGTCTGTTGTTGTTGCTGCTGCTGTTGGCCAGGAGTCTTCATCACCTCTGTTTTCTCTATGTTCACCTGAAGGAAGTCCTATCTTTGACGCTTCTTTTCCCAGCTTTTTGCTTTTCACTTGCATATTTTTCAGTTTGTAAGAAATCAGACATATATCATCGGTGAAGTCCAGATCCTCCAAGTTTCTTTTTGTGTGAGTCCATTTCATGGCTGTTTCCTCATTGCCCGTTGTCTGTCGCATTATCCAATCTACTGCAATCAGGAAAATCATTGGCGATAGTAGACAGCCTTGCCTCACTCCCGTCCTCACTTCAAAGGATTAAATATTGTTATTTAATACTGTAATGTAATTAATTTATTTAACTGATGTATTTCTTTCTATATTTGTTCTTATTATAACTAGTGTTTCTGTTTCGAAGAACAACGTCTCAATCCACATGAAAAAGTGAGTTGACTTATTGTTAATTGCTTTAGTTAGTTAGTTGGTTATATAGTTAGCCTGTTCTACTTTTCCCTTTTTTTTCTTGATTTTCTGATTAAATCTACACGGTTGGATATCGGTGAAGGATAAAATCTATCGTAAGGTATTTTCGCTCAGACGCCGCAAAATCTCAATCGATGTGACTTCACAACTTCATCGTTGATTGATTTTGCCGACTTGCCTAACTCTTGATTGATGCCCGATCTAAATATATTACTAACATGTGAGACAGAAGTCAGACACAGATGGTCGAGAACAGCTAACCAGCCAACCCTTTCATGTCTTCTACATTTGATGGGTATGTCTGTCACTCACAGCCATAGAGGAGGGGACAGAGTGAACTGCTGAGCAGTACACACGTCGTTCGATCGATAGCCGGTTGGATATCACGTGTACGCTAGAGATGTTGTTCTACCCATCTAAGTATATTTAGACGAAATCGGGGCGAATAATAATAACAGCTTTATTCCAAACAGTATTTATGGTACAGTTATGGAATTTCCAGCGTGCATTACAATATATTGCATCTAATCACCTCATAAATTTTATAAGATTTTAAAATCAAAAAGCAACACCCCCCAAAAGAGAAGATAAATGAAAATAAGTAAATAAAAAGAACAGCATTGCGTTCACACTTTAAACAATGCACCACAGGATATGAAGTATAAAGTTGATGTGTGATAGAAGATGAGAACAACGGTGTAATAATAACGAGGATAGGAAAACAAAAACTAATGGGACTATTTGTTAGAGTGCTGCAATAAGTTGATCGTGTCATACCTAACGGATTTCTCATCACCATATAACAGCTGTGTCAGATATGGTATTGTGGAGTTTGGTACTTGTCAGTCCTAGCATTTAGCCTCCTATAACTGCTTGTAGTTCTACCAGATGAAATGCAAGGAGACAGCTGCGTATAAAGAGGATCCCCGGGATCTGACAATATCGTATTCGCCAGTTTCTTACATGACATAATATGTCTATCCACAATAGTGTTAACCAGTTGGTTGGTTTAACGATATCCCACTTGCCCTACTAACGGCTTTTAGTGCCCTTCTCAGCGAAGCAAAGTCTTTCTTAAGTAGTCTAGGGAAAGATTAATGTGGAGCAGTAAAGGGGGATGGGTAGAATACAAGAATTTATAAACTGAGAAAGCAAAGACTGCTTTATGCTAGATTGCCTAAATTTCCTAATGTAGAACGTTAAGCGAAACATCTTTCTAGTAACTAACTAGCAAGATGTGGTAGGACCAGGAAAGATCGGTGGAAAAACTCAGCCCCAGGGTACTTGACATTGGATGTATTTTCAACCTCTATGCTGCCAATGATAGTGGGGCCATGTTAGCTAACTAGTTGTTGTAGGTCACGTTTACGTCTGAAAGTGAAATTGACTACCTGACATTTAGACGGATTAAGCTTAAGACCGTTTGAAGAGGACCACTGACTGATTTCTGAGAGAAAGTTATTTAATTTTGAACAATCTGACTGAGATTTGACAGGCAAGTTTGTTTTGTAATAGCTTATATCCCCACTCAATGTAATGCAGTGGGGTTTTCGTACACGAATTCTCCCCCCTTCAAGCAAATTTAATGAATTCGGACAAAGCAATAAGAACAACACACCAGGTGAGGGGAGCGGTTGGATAAAACTAAAAATATCCATTATTTATTTCGTCGGTGTGTCTCTCATCAGCTGCATAAAATCTGAATAATAAGGGAATTTAATTGTTCTATTGCACAAAATATCCATCAGAGCATTCCTAGAGAGAAATGAACAAGAAGCAATCAGGAAATAGACGTATCTTTACGGTGATTTCATCCTCAAAAGCAGCTGTACAAACGCATCTCTGCACATTTGAATTCACATAGTCATAATAATGATAATTATTAATAAATCCAACATATTAACGAAGGTCTGACTGGAAGAGATAATAATTTCCACCTTGATAGCAAAGTTTTGAGCGTGTGAGTGTAAATTACAAGGGTGGTGGTGGTGGGCGGGGAGCATAGAAACAAAAGTACGTAGGATCTAACTGGTGGATGGTGACTAGCAGTGGAATCCAGGATGCGAATTTCGTCCCGTTTGGGACCCGTCATCTGGATGTACGTGCATTTCACGGTGAATGATGATGTTCCCACCAAGGCTCGAACCCAGTGCCCATGGTTCCAAACACCAAAGCGTTATCCACTGGACCGCTTAGGCCACGAGAGCCACCTATTGTGCAACGGGTCATATCAATTATTTAATAGAGTTTTAGATTTCCCCGTCGATTGATTGATTAGACCGAAGTCCTCGGTCTCAGACTGAAACTATGGGCAATGGGTTCGAGCCTTGGTGGGAACACCATCACTCACCGGGGAATGGAGGTACACCCAGATGACGAGTCCCAAACAGGACGAAATGCGCCTTATCCTGGATTCCACTGCTAGTCACCATCCACCAGTTAAATTCTAATTCAATACCCAGACATCGTCGAAGCATCTGTACAAGAAGCCAATAGACGTGTCAACCTGAGACCGAGCACTTCGGTCCAATCAATCAATCGACGGGAAAATCTCAAATTCAATTAAAACCACATAGGATTAAGAAATAGTTGCTTCTATGTTGGGTGCATCTTCTATTCTTTTTCAGTGTATCTAATTTTGGCAGCTATATATATATATATATATATATGTAAATTAAACATCACACTTCATATGTCTGATATCTAAAAGTAGATGAGTTTGACTCATGTATGGTAAGAAATCTATTCTAGGCAAATAAACACAATATGAAATGATGAATTATATTACTCATGTTTATGCTTCCCCCGCCCCGTTTTGATATATCTAAATAGTGTGCGTTGATCAATTTCATTTGAGAGTATTGGATAACTGACTGGTACTCAACATATAAGAAGTGTAGCAGTTCGTTCAGGTTGCCGTACTTCATGTAGCGCATGCAGGTAGAGAAAAAAGGGGGGGGATTCAAAATTCAATTATAATGAGCAGAAGAGTACGCGAGAAGGAATAGCAACAAGAAAAAGACATATGAAGATTTTTTATGGATCTTGGAGGTCGCAGTGAAGTACATTTTATTTTCGACGAAGTTATCAACTAGGTAGATTTGTACATTCGTGTATTTATAATGAATGTGTGAGAGGGTTCCAGAACTCTTTTCGATCAAGGGGCAAGTTAATAAAATTAGTTCTCTTTATGAATTTAGTTAGACAAAGCAATAAGAAGATGATTTTTTATTCCTTTACGTTCCCAGTGGAACATGGGGTGGGGGGAGGCTTCAAGCTAGAGGCTAGAAGTTTGGGTAGCAGTGGTGTTTATTTTTTTTTTTTAACGGGATGGGGTTGCTAGCCTCATGTTCAACCTTCCCTCTTTACCAGTCTTATTACCGGGATTAGCGAGGTTTAGGAGTACGTCTGTGGCCGAGCATCGAACCCCGAACCAAATGAGGCGTGGTTGGCGAGGATTTTACCGCTGTGTCACCGACACACCCACATAAGAAGATGTAATTTATCTGAATCGTGTAATGTGCATATTTGCGCAACACATTTCGAACAATATGTTCACACACAGACTTATCATAAGAATTTATATATGAAATTAATAAAGAGTTAAGTGGTAGGAAAATAAATAGACTTGGGTCAAGTTAAAAGGACATATTGAAGGTCAAAATAACAATGATGATGCGAGTTTTTGTCGACTTTGGTACTCGTCAGCTGGATGGTTGTATCTTAATCCCCGTTAATGATTCTGTGGTGACATCTTCAGCGCATACTTCAATTTGAAGTGAGTTTTCAGATTTCTCCACGAGTTTATCAATAATCTCTCCTGGTGACCTTGGACGTGACACTGGTTGTTTTTGTGTGGCTTCAAATCTTCTAGGTTGCTTGTATTGGAACTGATTGTTTCTTTGACTTGAACTTTGACCCTTTGTGTGTGTGAGGTTTCTTTTTTATCGGTTGATAAATTTTGTCAATCTGGATGTGTTTATTGATTGATGATTCACTGGAATGCCAGGCTTCTAAAAATTCTCCAGCATTCTTGTTGTTTCCTCTGTCTAATATTTGAACGTTGTCCCAGTCGAATTGATGTCCGTGGTTGTCTGTATGTAGTGATATGAGGGAGTGGATATCATGTCTTTTGATGGCTAACTTATGTTCGTGGATACGAAGACGAAGGGGACGTCCACTGTGGCCAATGTAGTGTTTTTCGCAGTTGTTACAATTTATTTTGTAGATGATGTTGGTTTTATCTTCTTTCGCTGTTGAGTCTTTTGGTTGACATAGAATTGAATGAAGCGACTTTGTTGGTTTGCGTACGACGTCAATTCCTAAGGGTTTGAAAAGTCCTGTAGTGATTTCTGAGATATCCTTTATATATGATAAGGCGATTTTCTTTGTGCTTTCCTTGGGGGCTTTTGGTTTGGTAGGTTGACTTTGGGGTATATTTCTTTTGATGGAATTCTGTGGATATCCATTCTTTCGGAAGACGTCCATAAGATATTTTTTTTCTCATGGACGTCTTCCAAAAGCAATCACATCCAAGGTCACCAGAAGAGATGATTAATAAACTCGTGGAGAAATCTAAAAGCTCACTTCAACGAATTACGGTATGCGCCGAAGATGTTGCCTGGTAGGCTGATGAAAGCTTCGCAAATTAACTATCCAGAGCTAGCTCAGAGAACACAACCACATCAAAATGAGTCCGTTTAGAGAAATGGGTTTATTAATTGATATGATTATGAACCACAATAAATTGTGTTCTACAGTAAATAATTCTATTTCATTATGTGTTTGTTATATATCTAATAATCATAGTTAAATGTCAGTTAATGTCATATATAAAATAATACATAGGATGGATAGAACTTGAAAAAGGGTGTGCAATTATAGGATTAGTAAACAAATCGAATAAAATAAAAATGCTACGTAATATTGGGCGAAATTCAATAGCATAGAATTTATCGTTG